GCGGGAAGAAGGTTGAACGAGAAAGAGTCCCAGCTGTGTCGGCTCTTGTGACTGCCAAGGATCATGTGCCTTCTATTCAGCTGTACATCAAGTAGCACTCACAAACCGAGAGAGACGGTAAAGCTAGCTACAGCCAAACACCTGGACCTCAGAGAAAGCTTAAGATGTCACATGTAACTGGAGTGGTAGCCAGGAGCGTTCCATCAATGTGCCTCTAAGGTAGGAACTGTGTTCAAAGAGGTGAGACAAAAGTAGGATAATTACAAAACCAGCTCCGACTACTGAGCCCTAAAACAGGTGACTTGGTGAAAGCGCATACAACCGATGGGAGAATGGAATCTGGGAACAGGTCTTCCTCTACCTCCCTGAGTTGTGAGACACGTAGCCAGAACCAGTCGGGATGCAGCTCTGATCTCAAAAGCAGATCTGACGCCACCCTCTCCGTGTCTCTCTGTTGTACTCGGTAGACATCTGCAAAACAGCCACAGTGGAAAAACAAGAGTGGCATGGAAAGACAGGCACCGGTTCGGCTGGCTTACTCACCTCAAGGGCCTCCCACCACCCAGGAGGCGGTCTAGAGCCCACCAGAGAGCCTCGTAGGGACTGGGTAGGGCTAATGTCTTATGGGAGGAGGGGTGGGTGCTGGAGTCATCACGGCAGGGACTGTGACTCAGTAATTAGCCTGTAGCACGCGGCAGGGATGAGAAGACAGCACTAGGGAGACGCCACATCAGGGGCCAGGGAGACAAGGCGAGAGCCCATGTGGCCCGCAGACGGTAGAGAGACAAACGCAGGGAAAAAAAGAGAGACATGGAACACAGGGGAGAAAATGGGTGCTGTAAAATGCTGGAAAAAATACACCATGGTTGTTATTTCTTCCCTGCTCTGGGACATGCTGTGTCTTTTGCTTTTGTTTTGGTCTTTTGAAGTTCAGAGAAGCAGGGCCAGAGATAACTATTGAGAAGATTTCAAACTGCAACACAGTGAAGTGGGTCAGAACGGCTTTCACAAGTATGCTACAGCGAAAACGGTGCTGACGTATGGTTCAGTCATTCTGACGCATGTAACGATTCGGAAAACGTTTGTCTGTGCCATTAGCTTGTGCCAATAACTTGAAGGAATAAAGGCTAGGACCTCCCTTCACCCTTTGATGACTACACTTTAAAGGGAACAATAAAAACGTGTATTCACCAGAAATAATTTTTGACAGGGGAGTCATGTAGCCAGTGGACATTCTGTGAAGGTGGAGTCATTCACAACAGTAAGCAAGACACTCTGATCTAACTGGGTTTCATCGTAGCCTCAATGCCTGAGTCTGGTGAATCAATTTTGAGTGTCAAATAGGAATCCAGTCACTTATAAACCCTCACATTTGTAAATTATTTTCGAAGTGACTCGTACACTGTTCAGCAAACTATAAAACCTCAGAGACCCACATCAGACTAACCTTGATTGCCAGGGTTCGTATTTGCACAGCTGTCAGGTAAGCAAGGCATGCTTAGGCCTGGTGAAAGTGTGAAGAGTCTGACATTACAGAAACCTATCTGTTATGTAACTCGGGAATCCAGGTCATTTTCAGATACACCCTTGAAGATGACTTCCTGCTTGAATTATCATCTCTTCACACTTGTACACTTCTGCACTAGTGCTCAGTGTGTGGTATCTAAAGCACGGGTGTACAAGCGGGGCCTAGCAGGGGATCGGGATGAGAGAGAGTGCAGTGTCTTAATCAGATAAACGTGGGCAATGGGCAGCCCACCCAATCCTCAGACATTCCTGTCACTCACTGAACCCTGAGACAGACACAGAGTGAGAAAGAAGGAGAAAGGGAAGACCAGATACCCTCATCAAGGGTTATTTCTCTAGGCCGAAATGAGTGGGAGGTGACCCCTGGCTGTCTCTCATGTTGTTGCTGACTCATTTCACTGTGCTAAGTAGTCTTTGGGCAAAGATGAAAGGAGTGACCCCGTTGTCAAGCATTTTGACTACGCCCCTTTCAAAGCAATGCTCTCAGAAGATGCTGAAGACTTCTGGCACAGCAAAACTGGCTGGGTAGGAGCAGCATTAGCCATTTTGGTAGCAGATGTTACATGGGTTTATCTTTGACCATAAAGCCGTTCTAACATTCAAACTTGTGAATGACATGTGGGCTCCTTAGCAGGTCGTGCGGTCAAGCTTTTCCACGGATCTGTGTGTTCTTGGAAATTGTTTTGTTCTAACTCCATACACAATCTTATTTTAGCAATTCCATTAATGAATGCAAGTGTGTTTATCGAGGTTGTCCTGTTCTTGTGTAGGTCCCATTGTCTCTTCATGCACTACATGTCTCCGGGGTAAATCAGATAATCTTGACTGAACTCTAAACAACTTTTGTGTGATTCTTGATTGAATTCAACCATTCATCACTTTTGTATAAACAGAGTCAAAAAGCAAATTGGGGGCGGGGGAAGGCGGCTTGTTTTTGCACTAGCCGTTGTCTTCAAGACACAGCTCGCTTGTCTTGATTTAAGGCCCAATACAAACTGGGATCAGGTGCTTAATCTCTACGGCCTCTCTGCATTAACGACGCATGCATGCTAGAAACTATCATTTGTGCCAGTCTGCCAGAGCTTTACACTCCTACAAGCACTTTGCACTGAACATGGGACCCAAATGGTGCACATATCCATTCTTCCAGAAGACTAAAGTAGCAGACCAGCAGTAAACATGTCTTACGTGGATTGTACAGTCTTTGCCAGTGCACTCCATTCACCCTGGCCTGAACATTCACGGTTGACTGAACTCAAGGGAGCTCGTCTTGAGAAATTGTTTTTCAAGATAGCACGATATTTTGGCAACTTCCACTGCAAGTATCAGCACTTTTTTAACAGCGCACAACTGTTTTTCCATGTGAGGAGAAAGCTTGTGCATGTATGTTGGAGAGTGTCTGCGCGTGGTCATGTGCCAGTGCATTTGTAAATGTAAACTCTGCGACTGTGTGTGAAAAGAGAGCAGGCCCTTGTGCATGCGAGAATATGCAAGCGTGGTAATGATTCATATCACATCTTGCACATCACGCTGGAGTCATTATGTTTTAGCTTTCGTTCTGACATGCTTGCAAAGGTGAATGCCTTTTTCCATGATGTATGAACAGCTGGTGGTGTGTGTGTGTGTGTGTGTTTGAGAGGTTGGGAGTCAGAATTCTGCGTGTTAAACCACCAGCTGTGGTCAAAGCCAGTCAGCATTTTATCGTAGGGAAACTAGCGGCCACGGAACTCACTCTGCCCTTCCAAGCCAAAGAAGAGGGTCATATTCTTAAAGAGTCCACTGGGCCGAGGCATGTGCTAACATCCCACTTGCTTGCTCGTCGCTTTATTCCAGTCCTCAGGAGTACAGAGGGGGAGTGTGAGACTGCTGACTGCTTAACCAGCATGGCATCTTTCCTCCCGCTCTCCCGCTCTCCCTCCCTTCGCCCTGGTCAGGCATGCGGCCCCTCCTGAGCCGGGCTGGGTCAGCGGTGGGGGTTAATGGATGTGGTATGAATGGACAGTGAAGCAGCATCATGACAAACTTCATTCAGCTGACACTGACCACTCTTTAGCCAAAAGGGAAATTCCCTGCCATGGCATGCATGCGTGAGATTGCACAAGCACACTCACATCAAAACAAAAAGAAAGAAAGATTAAACTTTAATCACGCAGTAACAAGGAGGCCCATACTATCTGCATAAAAGGAAAGAAAGCCCAGGGCTCAGCCAATGACCAAATAATGAACTTACACTAAATGCACGAGCACATTAGATGACGCAATGTTCTGAAAGTCAGCTTGACACGAAAATAATCACTCTTGTAGTTAAAATGCAAGCCTGCTGCTCATGCATGAAATGAAACACGACTATGTAAAGCGGTAAAGTGTGTCATGTCATGAGAGGCCATGTGTGGCAGTCAACATCAGTCTATGTCAGACTCGTCATGTACAGTATTTGCTAAATTATTACATTGCTCTCATTCTTGCACTGTAGCAATAAAAGAGTCCAGTGTTGCACATAACATCAGTATAGCTGTTCAAATGATTGAAAAGACAGCAATATGGTCTGAATATAATAATGCAACATCACAGTATGTAACCCATTTAATCCTGCCGGACAGTTTACAGAGTTGTAATCAATAAATGAAACTGGCTACATTTCATAAGAACATTTTTACATGACTGGTGGACGTAGTCACATGACCAGAGCGGTTTAATTCCAATCTGAAAGCTCCATAAAAGAAAGCATGTAAAATATGTCATAATACACACACTGTTTAACAAATCTGATTCCTATAATGTATTATTGCTGTCTCATGATCAGAATACATGCAAACATGTCTGTGGTCATATCTGTGGCCATTGGGACAAAAAAAAAAAAAGATTAAATCTCAATATGTATCTGGCTGATTAACAATCAAAATGGAAGAAAAAAGGGGAGAAACAAATGTAACAAAGTAAAATATATGTATTAGTGTATTAATTGATATCCTTTTCCCACAACTGCCTGATAATACAACATTATCTTAGTCTATTGTATGCAACGTTCTGTTGGGTCTTATTGAACAGCTAAGCAATTTTCCCTCACTGGTTACAATTGTGACCACATATAAAACATATTCACTAACTTGGCTGAAATTAGGCTAGGAGTAAACTACGTGTGCTCACTTAGCTGTGTAAAAACCAATAGGCTAGAATTAATATATTAGGCTACATAATAAAGACTTTTTGTATAGGCTAACATTTGAATCAACGGCTGGCACATCTGGAGCGCCGCGTGCAGGCTGTTATACCTGTCTATCACTCGCTGATCAAAAACATTTGATGTTGCAACGAGTTTCGGAAAATTTCTGCCTGACATCAAATCATGTTACATTATCTCGATTGCAATGCATAGACATTACCTCAGTATATGCACAAAAGTTACTCATAACTGACTGACAAGTGACGAATACGCAAAACAATAAGGATGAGAAAACGATTAGAACACTTACCGTCTACTTTTTCAGATTTTATTATAGTTAACGGCTTAATATCGACAGCTGCCGTCATTGTCACGCATTCAATGTACAAAGTCTGTTTGGATGTTTTTAGTCCCAAATGTGTCCTCCAAAGTCCGTCTGTGTGCCTGGAGTTTCTTAGAAATGACACCGGTTTTCCCTTAACAAAATCCGATCTCTGAAGTATGGAAGCGTCTCTTTCCCTCCCTCTCTTTCTCCGTTCTATCTCAATCACTCTTTCATCGCCTCCCTCTGTTAGTTGCCCCGGTCCAGGGCGGTTCTGTGTGCGGCACGGAAGAAGCTGATCCGCGTAAAGGGGCGGTGTTACACGCTGATTCAATTCAATTACACTCCACTCTGCTGTCTCTCCCTGGACGCGACCGACGACGCGACGCACGCGACGCCAGCGCTCTGGACGCGTTGAAGCTGCACGTCATTTCAAAACGTCCACCAAAGCAGCTGTGAGCTCAGTGCTAACAGTTCAACTTCAGTAAAATGGACGATAAACTATGTATTTTCTCTCTTTTTTTTTCTTATTTTTTAGCGGAAATCCATTGGTATAAAAATTACTTATATATATATATATATATATATATAAATATACATATATATAACAGGTAGCTTCTATACTGTATATGTATGTAAAGCTTAAGGTTTCCTCTATCGGTAAGATTCCACTTAATGATTTTGCTTTAAAAAGTGTTTGTTTGTTTATTTATTTACTTAATATATATAACAGATAGCTTTTATAAAGGCTTCCTCTGTTGAAAAGATAATGATTTTGCTTATTTAAATATTTTTTTAATGAAAAAAGTGATTATTTATTTACTTATTTATGTATTTGTTTATATTTTTTATTGTTTAATATTTTAATTATTATTATTATGTATTTCTTTATTTATTTGTGAAGATAGTGATCATAAAAGTTGTAATAAAAGCAGTAGATACTGAAGGTGCATCGCAACACGTCATCACTTTGGAACAGACGCCCCAGTATAGACCGTTTTATTGATTGCCAGAATGTAGAAAATTGTGAATTCCTCTGGCTCTTCAGTCTCAGTCTACCTTTTTCCTTGCACTGCATCTTTAAGAGCCAGATGAAAATTTACCAGTCATTCCAATCGGCACACACCTTCTTGTTCTCTAATGGCTTTGCACAAGACTTCGGTACATGGTTTCCCACGATTGTGAGTCCTATGTAAATACAGTTATGCCACCACTGAAAAATCAGTGTAAACACTTTTCAAATGTGGCTTTTGCATCCCCACCCCTTCTTTTTGCACTGAAGTGATCAGTGAAAGTTTGCACTCCACCAATGAGACGAAGCATTGCATTTTAGCGTACGGTCACCAGGGATCACGAAGCTGTAATTACATCTGACCTGTAAACGAGTTTGGTCATTTCTTGGGCACAATCGCAGCTTGAATAGTTATGGGAACTTCCCATTTGTTAATTTCACTTACTGTTAGGGGCTTATTCAACACAGAGAAGCTAATGTTGACAAAGCGAGCAGTTTCACAAAGAACATATCTTGTCCATTATCTGTGCGAATAGTCTTGAGCAATTTCTTTAGACCCCCCCCAAAAAAAACACATGAGTAAAAATGTTGCCTAATTGCACTGATGCAATCTACTGCTGAAAGTGTCATATCACCATAATAGCTCACAAACACCCATGTGCTCGCATGTGCTGTTCTTTGGCGATTTCAAAAGCAAAGACATGCTGACCTCCAAATGATGAATGCGACACACCTCACTCTCTCAAGGAAAAGCTGCCAAGGGCAAGACAACTATTCAGTCTATTTAAAAACACAGATAAACAGTGTAATCTGCGCTGGCTCGTGTTTTAGTATCCCATTCGTCATTGTGAATGGCTGACGCTACGCTCAGTTGAACTCTCACCGGAGCGGCGGAATCACACCAGCAACAGAAGAGGATAAAAAGACACGTCTCTCGTCTGGCTAATAGTCTGCAAATGATCTGAAAGTAACGAGTGCTCTCATAACTTCGAACCAGCCCTCATAAACACCTCAGCGTATTTCCTGCCCACCTTGACTAGATCAGTAAAAACTCAATTTAGGATTTGACAGAGGATCCTCTCTCCACAGCGGCAGCACTGGATCTGAATCCTAGCCAACTTTCAGACACCTACAATTAAAAAAAATATTCCACTTTATTTGCATTAAAACAGCACTCAGACCTGCACAAACGCCTATCTGGTTTGGTTTCGACTCATGTTGTGAACGGTTCAGATTGAATTTTTAAATTGAATCACCCAATTTATGGATTTGAGCAAAGATTGACTCTTTTTGATGCTATTGCATCACGTCTCATTGATGATTTTTTTTTATTTTTATGTTTTTGAAAGAAATCCGTTATGCTCGCCAACACTATTACAAACTAAGGTTCTTAATCAGCATCGATGGTTCCGTAAAGAACCTTTCCATTACACAAAAGGTTCTTTAAAATGGAAAAAGGTTCTTCAGATATTTCACATGTTCTTCACACTAAGAAAAAAATGGTTTTCAACTTGAATATATATATTTAAAATGTCATTTATTCCTGTGATCAAAGCTGAATTCCCAGCATCATTACTCCAGTCTTCAGTGTCACATGATCATTCTAATATGCTGATTTGCTTACCAATTATCATCAATTATTATTGGTGCTAAAAAAAAATTATTGTATAAAAAATGTATATCTGGTTGATTTTAATGTTGTGAACAATTCAAATTAAATTTTGTAAATTGTATCACCCAACTTATGTATTTAATTTTTTTTTTTATTATTATTGTATCATGTCTGATGGGATGCCATGTCTCTGTTTTTTAATCTAATACACATACTGGTCAAAAGTTTGGAATAATTGAGATTTTTTAAAGTTTTCAAAAGAAGTCTCTTCTGCTCACCAAGGTTGCATTTACTTGATTAAAAATACACAGTAATATTGTACAGTATTATTACAATTCATAGTAGCTGTATTCTATGTGAATAGGCCTAAATGTTAAAATGTGATTTATTTCCTGTGATCAATTCTGGATTTTCAGCATCATTACTCCAGTCTTCAGTGTCACGTGATTCGTCAGAAATCATTGTAATATGCAGATTTGCCGCTCAATTATAATTAGCGTTTAAAAACATATTCCACTATATTTGCATTAAAAAAGCTAAAACGTCAACGAACGTATATCTGGTTGTTTCGACTCATGTTGTGAACAGCTGAAATTCAATTTCATAAATCGAATCACCCTGCTTACGGATTTGAGCAAACATTGACTCGTGTCTAAAAGGAGGTGAATGGAGGCGGAGGGATGAGGGCCTGCGACTGCGTCAACTTAATTAGTTGCCGTGGTAACAGATTGCCTCGGCAATTTTCATGCGCTGATCAGCTGGCTTCCTAAGTGGAGCCCAACGGTTCTGACAACTGTGGGAACGGCTGCCTAGAACATTTAGCTACGTCACGGCGGATTCGTGCGTTTCCGTAAAAACTAATTCTGACCTCCCGGATTTTCCACAAAGAGCTTCGGCGATGGAAAGCTGAGGTGAGAAATGTGACCAGCCCAGGTCTCTGCGTTCAGAATAACCCTATTAGCTGGGTCAATACTAGGCTGCGAGTACGGCAGCGCACATCTGCGAGCGGTGCTGAGAGGCCGGGGAGCCAGCGTTATTGATTAGCTATGGATTTTTAAACAGGGATTCTTCAGAGTGTCCATTAAGCTGTCTGGATAGTGTTTCATCCGACAGATATGAGCGATTATGGAAATGGCTGAGCCTTTATGGGGCTTCTGTGGTCGCAGGAACCCGTCAATGAGAGCTGGAAGGGGGAAGGGATCTTAATGGAAGGAGGAGATCTCGCACTTCTCCCCCTTCTGTCAGTCAGTCACTCACTCATTCACTCATTCGCTCGACCCTCTCTCACTGCTCCGCTTTGTTTTAAGTCTTAATGAGCTCCTTGTATGTACTTTTAAAAGGACAGACCAGGCTCCCTTGCGCCCAGAGGCGGCCATTAAGACTAATGGGGTTGCTGACTAATATCAGAGCCAGAGGTTGCTGAGTGGCCCTTTTTCTCCTTTTAAGAAAGGACGCCTAAGTTCGGCCTGCAGACTGTCACAGCTTTGTTGCTTTCTTGCCAGTTTCATAATCTGTTTTGACTCTGTTGTACGATTTTCACAAAATACGAAGCAGCACAACTGTTTTCAACATTGATAATAATCAGAAATGTTTCTTGAGCAGCAAATCAGCATATTAGAATGATTTCTGAAGGATCATGTGACACTGAAGACTGGAGTAATGATGCTGAAAATATAGCTTTGATCACAGAAATAAATTAAATTTTAACATATATTCACATAGAAATCAGCTATTTGAAATTGTAATAATATTTCACAATATTACTGATTTTACTGCATTTTTAATCAAATAAATGCAGCCTTGGTGAGCAGAAAGGACATTTCAAAATCTTAATTATCCTAACTTTGTGTATCTTTTTTTTTTTTTAAATCAGATCCATGAAGGTTTTGGTTGGATTATGACCAACTGGCCAACAGCCAAACACCTCATTCAGTGTATATTCGTTGTGGATTAATTTTCCGATGCTTCTTGTGTCTTGTTGGCCGCTGTATTATAGGATGGAAAATTGTTGTGTACAAACCGGCGAAGTCTGGGATAAGTACCCAAATACCAGCTAACTGTAGGGTAACAGGATTTCTCAGAAACCTGCTCAAGGTAGCCAACGCTTCTGGAATTATACGAAATTCTGCATGAACACGGGGGAGTCTTGGTCTTGATTCATAAAATCAAAATTCATTCATTCTCCAACTTGGATCGCAAGCAACATCAGAAGTTGTTGACTCCCCAAAACAAGCAGTCACCAGGATACAGCGAAGGGAAAACACGTCTCTCGCTCTCTGGCCCGTCACACTTACTGGAAGCATGTGCTTTGCCTCAGAACTGTTCATAGTTGTATGGGAATTTACCCTGAGGAGGGGAATCAGGCTGTGTTAAGGAGTTCATTATGCTGCAGTCAGACACTGGAGGAAGACCCCGGCGCAGACACTGCTTCTCTGATCGCCGCCACTGTGCTGTTGTCATGGTTTCGGTGGTTATGAGGTATCAGATCAGGCTGGGGAAGAGCTGAGCAGAGCAACATCTGTATAACGGCTACCGTCAAGAATCAAGCCACGGGTGCTAACAAGATGAATTTATGCTGGACATCAAACAGCATTTATACTGGGAATGGCCAAAAATATTATATCATATGAGTAATTCATATTGATCACAGTCTTGTTTGTGTAGTGCAAAATTAAAAACAAAACAACAAAAACGTTTTTTTTTTTTTTT